CTCAGGCATCCACGTAGATAAAACTCTTTTGAAGTTCTCCAGGTGATTCTAAGTGGTGGCCAGGGATTGCCAATCCTCATGTTAAGCAAATGACAAGGTATATACTCACAGCTGTCCTGAGGAATTAAGATTACTTCATAATTTATAGATCCTTTTGATGTGGTGCCATCCCTTGGAGATCCTTTAGGAGGCAAGAGATCTCTTGGAAATCCATGTTTAAGAAGTGCTTAAAAGGCTCAGCTTTAAAGTATGCGAAGGGCTGGGGTTGCAGTGGTAGAAGGCCCTGAGGTGGAGCCTCACAGCAACAAACCTTAATGACTGAAGTGGGAGAGACTGGACTGGTGAATAACTCACCCACCACACTTCTTCATGTGGTCATGCCCTGGGCTATCAATTCACCTTTCAGAGCCTGCATTTTCTATCCTATGAAATATCCTCATCTTCCTGACCTCGGAGTTAATGCCAACATTTCCAGCAGAAAATAATTCTTTCTTATTGGTATTGCCCAAGAGGTGGTTGAGGCTATTATCTATTTTTTTTTTTTTCAAAAAATATTATTAACACTGACAACAGAAGGTGTGGCTCAGGTGCTGTTTTGGTTTGATCTGCAGGCAGTAAGTCTCTTTATGGTTTCCATTTGGTGCTCCACAGTGGCCCCTGTGTGCTGGGTTCCTGAGCCACACAGCCACCTGCCAATGATGGATGCTCATTATTTAAATTGGCTTTTCATGATTTCTGGTGAGAAGGTTCAAAGGCGATGAGGCGGGGGGGAGGTCAGTTCAGAGGCGTTAGAGGTGTCCTGCCCTGCCGATCGGTAGACACTGCGCTGTGCCAGGGAGAAGCTGCCGTGGAATAGGGCTCAGGGTAGCAGGAGAGAAGGGGTCTTCTGTTCACAGTTGTGTCAACAGCCGCGCTGTCCACAGGCCTGGCTTCCGAGATGTAAGTATGAGTTAGGGCGTCCCATGGTGACACTCCCTTTGTTAAGAATTTCCTATATTCCCGCTCTGTGCCCTTGCACTTGCAATTAAAGCTGCCCCTAGAGAACATATTTTATAGCTCAACAAAGAACGCATATTTCTAAATGAAACCTTAGTGAGTCATTTTGCTTCTCAGGGTTCAGAATGGCTTAATTATGTCCCAAGATGGGTCTTTATGTCAAATGCCTCCCTGGCTCTGCTTCTGGAGGTGTGTTAGCAAATATTAACTTATTTTAAGATTGATTTTAGGCTAATCCTGTAGCCAAAGTAAGCTTATTTAATGAATCATTGCAGGTAAATTATCTGGCCTCGTGGAAAACAGTAGGTGTTTAATAAGTGTTGATGGCTATCCACCACTGTTGGTAACCAGTGTAAATGAGCTGAGCTTACAACTTTGAAATTCAACCTGGTAATTCTTAGAAAAAAATAATCACTACATATTTTTACTTGTGGTTTTTGTCTAGTTGTAAAAGAAAGATATCAGCAAAATCATTATGCACAAGTCTTAATGCCATGGGCCCTGACACTGGAGGTTTTACCCAGCCCGGGGTCACAGGGCTAAAGGCTTTGTTTGTGTTGCTTTGCACTTCTGCTTCAGAGACCAAATTTGCCTTCTGTCAAAATGTCAAAGAGCCCGCCTGGGGAGCCCAGCGAAGACGCTAATGACAAGGTCTTGGGCTGCAGGCCCAACCCCTGCTGAAGTGGTCTGGTGGTGATGTCATGGGGATTAGTGCATGTTATCTGTAATGGAATAAATTCTTGCTGTGAGTCTCGGGCTGAGCATGCTTCTCAGGCTTATTTTAGAGCTGAATGAAAGCAGGCAATTATCATGTTCCTTAACTATAATCAGCTGAACAGGATACAGGTAGCCACAGAATGGAGTTATTTAAAACAGTAACAGAGTCACTTCAAAAAGGGTAATAATCTGGAAGACTCTGCACCATCTATTTAGAGCTGTCTACTTGTGGAAAAGACAGGGAAGCCTTGCTTTGTAACCTTCTCAAGGGCAATAGTATCAGAAAGTCTACTCTAAAAAATAAAAGGAAGAGACTCTGATCTAAACACTGCTCCCAAGAAATTTAACTTGGCCCCAGTGGGTAGGCCTAAATTTTGGAACTGATCCAGGGAGAATCCTGAGGTTCCCACCACCTGTCCATCTCGGTGGTTACCATGGCAAAGGACACTTGCAGCCTAGCCGGCTGATCTTGTGAGCCACTTAGTCCGTGCTGTCCGGGAGACTCCTAGGTGTTAACCTGGCTTCAGACACAAGTTGATTCTGGATATTGGTTGTTAGGAGGCCTTACCTTAGCAGCATTTCTGGGGAATGCCAATCAGATCCTGGAATGGGGCACAAGGTCTGAAATGTAAGTATTTCTGAGAATCTTTGAGGCTTTGCTTTTGAACAAAAATGGAACTGAGATAAATTCAGCTTGCCCCTCTCCCAAGCAAGTATGGTTACTAGGATTAGCTGGGTAAACTTGGGCGCATTATTTGAGTGGCTGAGATTTGGTTTATTCCTCTGGAAAATGAGGATGATTAGAATCTGTGTTGTAAGGATGTGCTTAAAAGAGTGCTTTGTTTACAGTGGTTACATGGAGCTCAGCAGACATTGGCTGTAGTTTCCGTGTCTTTGGCTAGGAGCCCAGGGACAGAAGTTCTTGTGGCATCACCTAATGACCCCTCACAGCTTCTCAATAGGCCTTGAACTGCAGTAATAAGCATGGATTTCACTCCACGTTTCATATGCCAATGAGCTAAGAAAACAGGAGAGCTGTCCATCTTCCAGCCAGCTGGGTAAAGCCTGGATTGGTTCCCACTACATTTAACACCATGTCATTAATTAATAGCAGCAATGAAAACTACACTAATGATGATAACAGCAGCTGCAGCTCTGCCTTCTGTTAAGTGCCAGGCACTATCTAAATGCAGCGTGTAGATGAGGTCCTTTCATCCTCACGACACCATCAGGGTGAGTTATGATGCTCCCCATTTCACAAATAGGTAGCTCATTTTTTTCCCAAGAAAGTTGAAAAAAAATATACATGGACAAGTTAAGATTTGACCCCAGGCATTAAGTTCAAAACTTTTAATTATTGTGTCACACTGCTGTCATGTTGTGTCACACTGCTAGAAATAGGACTGCATTAAGAGCCTAAACTCTAACCTAGAGTGGTTAGAGGGTGCCAAGGCTCCCCCTTGCCCCTCCCAGAACCAATTCAGGAGTGGAAGCAGGCTGGGCAACTGGGGCAGTGTCACAGCTGTGTCACTGGTGAGAAATTTGTGTAGGAGTGGCACCAACTCTACTGCTTGATCGGTTCACAGTTTTTATTTCTGTTTTCATAAGCAAAGCTTCTTGCTTGCATCAGCATTAGGAAGAAAGCCAGAGGATAAGGAAGAAGAAATATTTTGAAGGCTTTGGGGACCAGATAGGAGATTGTGTGACCACTGGAATTGGTCTTTGTCATCCAAGGAATCTGTGTGCTGCTATGTTAGGCTGGCTTCCTTTTGGTCAAATGTGGCCAGTTTTCTATCTGGCACCCATAGGTGGTCTTTGTTTAACCTTGTGCCACCTTATATGTGAGACAGGACCACCTTTGCATCACATTTTACTTGTTCTCAGTTCTGTCACCACTTATTCACAATGTGCACAGTGAGGTAATCGTTTACACATTTGGCCTCTGTAAACTGAATCCATGTACCATGCAGAATGCCTTGCTAGGTGCTAGGTGTAAGCCTAAGACAAGTCCTACAGGTCTTCTCACGGGGAACCTTTATTTTAGGGCTCTTTCCTAGCACCATAATAAGGGCACTCGGCATTAAGCACTGTGTTCTTCTAGAAGAGAATTCCTGTGGGAAGAATTTCAGGCAGATGTTTAGGAGTAACTGAATTAAACCATTGAAAATGTTGTGTGACAGCTTCTAGGTCAGGCTGGTTCTTAGGTGACTCTGCTAGGGACTGCTGGAATGGTAGGAAGAAGATGAGGTGGGGGGTGGGCAGTCAAATGGGGTCTCCTTTGGCTACAACATCTGAATATGGAATGAGGCCCTTGTTCTATATAAATGTTACAAATGCATCCAAAACTCCCATTCATATTTACATTGTACAGTAGTGGTAGAGAATTAAAACACCTCCGTGATAGAGGAAAACATGGTTGCCATTGCGTGAAGACCACAGTTGGGATGACAGTGACAGTTTTGTCACCAATCGATTTTAAACAGTCCGTTTCCTTGTCTCATAAGCTGCGCTGCTTCAGAAGTAAAATGCAATCATGTGTTGTGGTGGTGGCAGCATGTGGGGCAGGGTGTAGCTGGAGATTACAGGCACACCTTGGTACTCTACTGCTTTGAAATTCATCTAGTTTCATACATCTGGATGCAGCAATTTTGTCCTAGAAGTCGTTGCTTGCTTGGTCTAGACCTGCAAGCTAGAACTTGCTGTCCTGGCCAGCCCAAACAATTTGATACCCATTGCTTTTGTTCCCCCTTGCCCCTCCCAGAACCAATTCATGACGTGCACCAAGGTACCATTGTACACACAGTGGGCCCGCTGGCTCCTCACGAATTGTCCAAATGCAGGGTTTTCTTATTCCAGGCCTATTTCCTACTGTTTGAGAAAACCAGATGTTCTTGCTATTTTTTAACCCAAATTGGCCTCTCCCAGGCCTCATCCATCATGATTCCACCCAAGGGCCCAAATCTAGCTCACATCAGTGTATTTCCTTTGGACTGTCTCGATCCATGTGAGCCATCCTTTTAGACCTCATCGAGTGAGGGGGCTTCTTGTGTCACCCGGTCCTTCCCGATGCCTTCATTCTCATTGTTCTTCAAGTTCCATGTGGGGACATGACTGTCTCCAGCTGTGGACTCTGCCACGTTCCACACAAGCCACTCACACCTTGGTAGGCTCACACTGTGCTGTGGCTGTTATGCTCCAAGGCTGGCCTGCTGGGCCTGCTAACACATGGTAGCCTTGGTCTCCACGTCTTCTCCCTTTGCTAAGCTTCTGTCTATCCTCTCCTGCAGAATTACCCTTTATGACTACCAAGCCATGTGCAGAGCCAACAAGGAGAGCAGCGACAGTGCCCATGGGCTCCTGGATGTGAGTACAATGCCCCAGCTCAGAAAGCAGCTGCTCATTGCTGTCTTTATCTCTGTGATCCTATATCCTTCCTTAGGATAATCGAGTCTATCTGTTTTCAAAACCATCCATGTTTCAAGGTATCACCTGACTTCATTTATTAAGAAAGAGTACTTCTGTTTCAACCTAAACTTGGTGATTACGTGAAAGAAGCACAGGTCCTAAATCTTCCATGGGTTGATGCAGTAGCCCCCTTTTGAAGGATGGCAGAGCAGGAAATTTTTGTCAAGTCACTTGTTGTTAGTTAGAAGAGAATTTGGCTTATTTCAATAGAAATCTTTTTGGCCTAGAATACTGTAGGGCTCTTGCCTGATGAGCCCATTCCCATATCGATGGCAGGTATTCTCCCTGCTCATGCTGCTGCGGTATTGAAGGGGGACCTCCCTGGAGCTGGTGCCATCGGTGATGTCACAAGTGAAGATCAGTCAGCACCATATTGATACAGGAACTGGCTTTCACATTGATGGATATTAACTCTGACAGTTGACTCTCAGATCAAAATTTAACAACTGGCAATGTTCGAGCTGGGCACAGTGGCATTGGGCTAGAATTCCAGCTACTTGGGAGACTCATGCAAGAAGACTGAGTTAGAGAGCAACCTGGGCAATGAATGGAGGGAGATGCAGTCTTTAAAAGAAAGACACATACAATGGACATTTAGCCACCAATTACATAAAACACACAAACACAAACAAAACAGATACATATACCCCATTCTGGTCCACAAGTACAACCTTCACAAAGGTATGATCTTTTTAAATACTAAAAAATAAACCAAAATAAATCTTATTTCACATATAAGATTTAAAAGTGATTTCACCAAATAGCTCGGCAGATTAAAGCACCTGCTTAGGCAGACACAGGGGTTGGGAGTTTAATTCCCAGGCCTGCCATGCTGGCCCCACCCCCGGGGTGCACTGAGACAGTGATTGAGACTGGGCCTGGTGGCATGTGCCTGTAATCCCAGCACTTGGGAGGCTGCAAACAGGAGGATCACTACAGTCTGATCTACGCAGGGAGACCTTGTAGACTCTGTCCTAAAAATACAAAGAGAAATAAATAAATAGAAGTGGTTTGAGAAATACATATATACATCCATAAAAATATGATCAAAGTGAATTATTTAAAAACTGAACATTTAATGTATTTCTTCTATACTGAAAGGGCAAGAAATGATTCAGAGATAGAAATTTTCAGAGCAGTAACTAAGAGTTAGACTTTTTGAAAAATCCTGGTTTCTAGTGAAATTCTTCATTATCTTTCCAAGCTCAGCTTTCCTAACTTAGCACAAATATTTCCAGGCTTCAAATGCTCCCAAGATATGTTTTCATCATTAGACTTAAAAACTCAATAGCTTCATCCTTTTGAGTGGTAATGTGCATTTAAATATTTTAATCCCATATTTACATAATCCCTCTGTTTGCTTAGACATGGAGCCAGAGTCTAGCAGGGAATGCTTGAGAGGCTTTCTCCCCGGCCTGAGGGCCAGCTGCCTCTGTGCCAAGCCTTCTAATTCTTTTATTGATCCTCTTTCTTTTGCCCCTCATTCTCCATCTCAGCAGGTATAAAGACACAGGATTCTCCCATGGCCTGACCACTTTCTGAGAGGTGATTTTCTTTTCAGGCCATAAAATGAAATGGCAGAACCATGGAACTACAAGAGTGTATTTGGTTTTAGCAAATTGTTCCAGTTCACATCCTTATCTCACCCTCAAGATGGGAGCTAAGGGCCCTGTGATTCAGGGACTGATGTTGCAACACTCAGTTAAATCAGAGCAAGTGCTAGAGAAGGTTTGAAGTCTGGGTGGGCTGGAACTAACCCCAGTCCATTTCGTTTTGTTTTGCTTTGTTTTTGTTGTTCTGCTCATTTACTTTCTGGCCCAAAGTAGGGAAGTTTCAAGAATGCTTAGGGGAATATAAATTCATTCTTGTTTTACCTAAAAGAGGCTAATTCCACCTTTCCCCATTTGAGCTCCTACAATTAAAATGCTCAGAAGCTAGGATTAAGCAGGTCTCATTCACCTCAGAAACCAGGATTTGGCCTACACTTCAGTTCTGCGATAAAGGCAACTGTAACAGGTTCTGAGAGTTTTCTGGCCCTGACATCTGGAGTGCAGGACTGGCTGGTGTCGCTGCCTGTCTCTTGAGTCTGCCCACCGCTTGCATATCTGACATACCTAGGCAGAAAGAGCCAACAGGGGGAAGGCTTGGTGTTTTCCAGAATTCAGGAAATTGAATTATCCGTATAGGAAATATCACAGAATAAACAATCCAACTGCTTTTTCTAATTAAAATATTCTGCAATAAAGATTAGGCTGTCAATGCCTTCTTTTATAGACGAAAGAGGATTTTCTGTGAGGATTTGATCTCCTGTTTACATGGTTATTGTGTCCAAATATGTACGGGTGAGAAAAGGCAGGTTAAGTCGTGCATAATTCATGGAAGGCGTTAAAATCAAGTGTGTGTACTCTGTGCTGATTTCAGCAAATGACATCCAGTGATGTAGAACAGAAAATTCTGTGAATTACTATTTAAAATTAGTTATATGATTCCAGCCTCTCACATTAGGCTGCGAAATATTAGCCCGTTGAGAGTAAAGGTTTAAGCATCATTTCCCGAGCTTCCTTTTTTTCTCCCAGTGATAACCCTTGTATTAGACCATGTTTATTGTACTTGTAAATCACATCTTACTACAGGGAGTTCAAAGCTTTCAAATGTTAGTTTTGAGATATGATATCTAACCATTTTCTTCCTTTCGCTGGAGTGTCAGTGTTTTCTAACATGATATCCATCTCTCCAGAAGAATAACATTGTCTTTCCGTGAAGACTTAAGTTAAACTACAAACTCTGTGTGTGATACGCTGTTTTTAATGGATTGAATTCTTCCCTTCAGCCTTATAATGCCTTCCTCTCCGCTGCAAAATGGATAATGACAGAGCTTGTCTTGTAAGTACAATCCATTGCTTTTTTTTTTCCTCAAGAAAAGTATTGTTGTTTTTCTATATCTATATTAAGAAAGTAGGGACTTTGTGATTTCTAATGCTTTCAGTAACCATTAGATTTATAATTCTGGGAGATACTCTTATTGAATATCTCAAAATATGGAACATTAGGACCAGAAAATTGTCTTTCGTTGTAATTCATGATTACTCCCCATGCTCTTATGTCATTGTTTAACAGACTAACAGCTTGCAACACACAAACCAAATTTATTTATTGTAGTTACTGGTAAATTGAACATAGATGTCGGGCTGTTTTTCATGCAGCCTGGGTGGGCTGTGGTCAGAACACACTGCCGTAGCTGTCCACTGCTACTTGGGCTGTCTTGATCGGTACACAAGCTGAGGCTCCAACAGGCACCAGCTAGGGATGTGGGCTTTTCTCAGGTGTGATTTGTCTTCCCCTGTCAAACCATAGTCCTCTGTGGAGGATGCTGGATGTTTCTGTGACTTAGGTCAAACTTGGAATAGCCTGAAGATGAAAAGCTTGGCTTGCAGACCATAAATACATTACAGAAACCTAGTGGCCATGAAAGACAAGAATTCCATGGACAAGGGTGTCAGCCAGATTGAGCTAGTTGTAGCAAACTCTCTCACTGTGTCTTTGTCTGGCAGGTTTCCTACCATTCTGATTGCCTATTATACTGAAGGCAGATTCTTTCCAATTCAATAAATAGACAATGTCCCCCCCAAGACATCGTTTTTAAAATAAAGCCTATCTTAACAGTTTTTATAAATTCAAAATGGACAAGTCTCTATACCTATAAGAGATAGACAAAATACATTACTACATTACAGTTAATGGCATGCTTTTAACTGACAGGGAGCTGCTATGAGTGGTAGCCATGAGGCTGAAAAATAAATGACTTGATTTTGATCCATCTCTATTTATTTGGAAGATACTATTTTTGCATCTTTTACTAGCAGTTCAGAAATTTTCATTTTTCTAAAGTCAGATTATGGCATACTGTTACAAAAATGCATATGTGTCTGTCCCATATGTTTACAAGGGTTAAACAAGTTTCAGGGGTAGTATGAGTTTCAAAAGCAGCCTTTGTTACTATAGACCAAGGTCTTGATAGAGAAGGAATTCTATTCATATATCTGAACAAGGCAGGGGAGGCCTTTAGAAATTGATTATTTACTGTGGAATCCAACTAGATGATTAAGAGTGAATAACAAGCCAGTAACTAGAAGACTATTTCTGCCCAAACAGAGGACATTCCTCAACCAGGAATTTTGAGTATAGATAAGCCTGGCTCAGGGTTGGGCTAGTGTATTTGGAAAAATAGCCGTTCATTTATGCATTCAGTACAGGATCTCACTACGCAGCTCAGACTTGTAGTGATCCTCCTGTTTTCAGCCACTCCAGCGCTGGGATTACAGGCGTGTGCCACTACACCTGGACTCAGTCACTGGCTCAGCATGCCCTGGGGGCAGGGCCGGCATGGCATGCAGGACCACAGATCGAACCCTGATCTCTGTGTTTGCCTAAACAGGTGCTTAGTCTGCTGAGCTATCTCGCTGGCCCTAAAATAGCCATTCATAAAAAGAATAAAAGCTGAGGTGAAATGCAGTGGGATCTCATCCCAGCATTTGGATGTCTCCAAAATGTCATGTTATTCTTTCACTAAGGAAAGCATTGTTGGATAGCACAGACTGTCACTGCGCAAGCCAGCGCTGGATGACCAAGTAACATCAGGCTTTCCCACCATCTGTTTAGGTTCCTGGTGGAATTTAACCTCTGCAGTTGGTGGCACTCTGATATGACAGCGAAAGGTAAGCAGCACCTGGTTTCTGTTTCCTAGTCGGAGTGATAAACGCCGGGATCACTGGCTGCTTCTCATCAGGGATGTGCTCATGCATGAAACTGCCCGGGACAAAGTGATGACATTTTAGCTCTGTCAGCAAAGGTCACCCTGGGTTATGCGGTTCTGCTCAAGCTGATGCAAAATTCTACGGGTTCCATTCCGCCATGCTGAGTGTGTACTTTGAGCTATTGTCTTAACCAGGGCTTTGAGGGCACACAGTGCTCAGGTAAATCCTTCAGAATACTCTAAAGGGATATAGACACACCTCCTGTGCCTCAGCCTAAAGGAGTGGATGAAGACCCTATTCCTTCCCTAGCCACCCTCATAAAACATAAATAAGGTATTAGCTTTCCTCCAAAGCCTTCAGTGATGGGAGGAGTGATTAGTACAGCTCCCAGAGGCATGAGTTGTAGAATCAAGTCAATACCAGTGTGAGTCCATCTTGGAGGCTGGTCTTAAAAAAAAAAATTAGCTGATCTTTCCAAAGCTGTGTTTCGCCCTAGTAAACACAATGGGAAGAACAATATTTACCTCCCAGGGTGTGTGTGTGTGTGTGTGTGTGTGTGTGTGTGTGTATGTGTAAGCAGTGATGAGGTAAATCATGTCATGTGCTGACCACAGCAACTAGAACATAAAATGGTAGCTGTAATTAATCTCTTACGACAGTGAGGACCCTGCTAAGCATGACTGTGGTGGTGTTCGTACAGGAAACCAATGCTTCATAAGAGCACTGCCTGCTCTGTCAAATGCTGTTTCTTGGGCAGATTCTGTTCTACATTTCTTTAACTTTTTTTTTTTTTTTTTTTTTTTAGAACCGGGGATTGAACTCAGGCCCTTGCACTTTCCAGAGATCTTTAACATATTTATTCAGCAGCTCTTTTAATATTTTTTAATTTTATGTATTTAATACAGGGTCTATGGAGTCTCACTACATGGATCAGACTCATAGTGATCCTCCTTTTTTCAGCCTCCCAAGCACTGGGATTTGGGCATGTGCCTCCATGCCCAGTCTCAATCCTCATCTCAGCATGCCCTGGGGGCGAGGCAGCAAGCCAGCATTTAAACCCTGGTTCCTGCATCTGCCTGAGCAGGCACTTTAATCTGCGGAGCTAATGGGCAGGCCTCTTTTAATTTTTTAACATGAGCTCCTAGGGCAGTTGTGGCAAATCTATGGCACACATGTTGTTTGTCTTTCTTTTAATACAAAATGATACTACTACGTGACTTGTTCATTCTGAACTAAAACCTCGCTCTTCAGGTTGAATTGCAGTGGTGGTGCTTTGCAGTAAATACGTTGAGTTTGGATTGCAATTTGGGCACTGATCTCTCTCTAGAAGGGTCCCCAATACTCTCCTAGGGACAAGATTAGGATTCTTATTATTTTTAATTTTTTTAAGAGGTGGATTAATAATGTATCAAAGTTCTCCAGTTTCCTGGCAATGTCAATCTGGCATCCCTTTTTCTTCCTTTTAGAATCCCTGTCTCAGACAAAATTAGCCACCTTTCTTGTTCCTGCCTCAGCTGACACGAGGTCTTTTCACTGTTGATGCCTCAGTTTGTTTTATACTAAGATGGAATTTCCTGATAATAAGATTTAGGTCCCAACCATTGCTTCTCTCTTACCACATAACTGGGGCTTAGTATGTCACAGGTGCTTGATCTTCACCTATTGAACAGCCTAACAGGCAAGGTATGGGGGCATGCGCCTGTCATACCAGCACTTTGGAGGCTGAGGAGGAGGATTGCCATGAGTTCAAGGCCTGCCTGAACTGCGTAGTGAAACCCTGCCTCAGATGAATTAAATAAATAAACACCCTAACAATCCTTCTCGTACTTCGCATGACATTTGTCATCCTTCTCCACCCTTGCTGTGGTGGCACTAGTGTGCAGTGACAAGTACGCCTCGTCTCTCTGCGGAAAGTTTTGCCTAAGGAAGTAAACTGGAATGGGCATAGAAGTTCCTGTAAGAGGATGATCATCCACAGGGAAGTTATGAGCACAAATAATGGTGACCCTTTAAATGTCGAGTAATAAGGGTATTTAAAAATACACTCCGGAAGGCATAGGCACCATTTCTGTAAGCTGAATGAAATAAGAACTGGCTCACATAGTTGGGTGCAGTGGCGTACACCTAGAGTTCCAGCTACTCGGGCACTTGAGACAAGATTATCACTTCAGCTCAGGAGTCAGGTACTAAGCTGGGCAACATCGTGAGAGACTGCCCTCCTTACACCCTCCCCACCAGCACCCACCACAAAACCCCTACAATACTAAGTAATATAGCAAAATAAAACTCAGAATACAAACTACATATGCGCCAGAACAAAATAAATATAAATCCCAAAGCCAGTGTAAGGAGGGAGAAGGTTCAGGCCCCAGAATATTGACTTGCAAGGGTTCTTCATTCTAAATTTACTATTCTCTCACTGAAGACCCAGAGCTGAGGCATACATCTACATTTTAGCTAAAAATGGAATCCATAATTACACTGTTTATCTGCTTCGTTTCCTTAATGAAGGGGCCTGTGGAAGCCCATTTCTGCTTGATTATCACAAAGGCATAATTTTGAAGAAGTTGCACAAAGAGAACAGGGTTTTCCGGCACCCGCTTATGAATGGGGATGCGTTCACAGAAACAAAGGAAGAGGAAAGCTTTTCAAATGGCAAATCTATTCATTCTCAATTGTCGGCACATAATTACTGTGAACTCAAGTTAGTTATTCTCATCAGGGACGTTTGTTGCTAAGGCAGAATTAGAGAAATTCAATTGTGTGCATGCTCCACTGGGTGCCTCATTGTGAGTGAGTGATAGGTCGCGGTGACTTAAGCATTACATATGTAGCCCAACTGGGGTGAGAAGCACAAGAGCCTTGGCTCTGGGATGTGACAGTACAGACGCACATCTGGTCTTTCCACTCATTGCAGCTTTCATGAATGGTGAAGTGCAGCTTCAGGCGAGCATGTTCATGTCTCTGAGCTTTAGCTGCTTCATCTGCAAAGTGGGGGATGAGCAGAGCCTTGCTCATTGTGCATCGATGAGGGCTGCAGTCATAGAACCAGCCTAGCACAGCACTTGCTGTCTAGAAAATGCTCAGTGAGTCTACTGGTCAGGTACATGATGATTGTGGGCTACCGGGTGGTAGCTCAGTGACAGAGCTCTTGCCTAGCACGTGCAAGCCCCAGGTTCAGTCCCTAGTAACTCAAATGAGAAGTGATAATAGTGAGATTTTTCCCTCCTGGGGCTCAGGCGGGCTGTGCGTGCTTTCTGAACCTCAATCATCCCTTATGTCAAAAGAAGGACCTAGCCTAGTGAGCACTGTCAGCCTTATGTACATGTATCTTCATAACATTGTGGAGTGCTGAATGCCTAGAATTAAAAACAGTAGTCTATAGATTGCAAGAAGCTGGGATATTGGTTGCCAGTAGTGCCTGCTAAATAGGTAGGGTGTTTTTCATAGCATTATAAATGAAGAGAGGCTTGTGTGACTTAGATTAAGGCAGAATTAAAGAAATTCTGCCATGGCTCTGTATGATTCTTCATGTTTCCCAAAAGAACATCAAACAACTTCCAGCCAATCTGTAGTCACACTCCTTGTAGACTCAACCATTTATCACCACATCAACATAAGCACCCCACAACTGTCAAAGGAAAAAGAATTTCAACTCCAGAAAGAACCAGAGCCAGAGGAGTCTTGCCACTGAGAGTGCTGGACTCGTTCCATTCTAACCAGGCCTACACAATTAGAATTACGGATAGAGAAATTATCAGGCTCATTTAAATCACGTTTGCTTCTTCTCGCTGCCTGCCTCAAAGCCCTTTCTCGATATCCTCTGTTGGCCCAACTTCACAAAGCACTGCAACCTCCAAGAACTGGGGCTGGATAGCTCACATTCTAAATTGTGGACTGTGCCACATACCTATTGGATAAATTTAGACAATATAATCCTAGATAGTCTTCACTCAGTATTTGCAAGCAAAAATAATTATACCTCATCTACTTGCCAATTTTGTCATGTATTGCTATTAAGTAAAGTAATAGGAACAAGGCAGAATAATAGCTGGCACACAGTGATTTCTTAATAAATTTAGCTGTTAACACTGTCAAGTTTTTTGTGTACACCAATGGCAGGCATATTCTGAATTTGCTTATAATCCATGCTGCTTTGTACTTAATCTTTATCTCAATTTAATGGACTTGCATTTTGAAATTCAAACACTTTAAATGCAAGAAGGAAACTTCTTAAATTGAAAGTCAGAATCACTTGCTGTACATATGAGCCAATTGTTAGAATAAGAACTGTGGAAATAAAAAACCTCTCCAAATTGTAGCTGATAGCGTGTAGTTGGTCCCTCGCCTCCCCAAGCTGAAAGGAAAGAATCAAAAGAAAAAAAAAATAGAAACTAAAGGTAGTAAAGACTCCTTAATATCATGCAATCATGTCTTCCATGCAAACAGGCATTGAAAAAGACCTGGTAGGAGAATGGGGCTCCTACCAGGTATCCCTCAAGGTGGTGACATGAGCCTGAACCACAGCCAGCTACCTCAACTACCAGAAAGGCAGGCAGCTTGTTTTGGGAGTTCTCACTCACATTTCTTGTCTATTGTGTTTGTTTGATAAAAAACATCATTCTGGAGACTTATGGCTGTGTTCAGCAGGCATTTAATGACCCTCCAATGAGGCAGCACAACTGGGCAAAGAAGCACAGTTTCTGGGACTTGGGCCTTTGGGAAGACAGAAGCATACAACCATACAACCAATGGAATCAGAGAGGCAGCTATTTCCTTGAAATTCCTAACCCAAAAGAAGTGTCTCCAAAGATTGGAGGTGTGAGGACTCTTGGAAGTACCATAGGCAGCAGAGGATAAAGGTGCAGGAAGAGCACACACTCGGATAGCACCCTGTGCCAACAGCTTTCATTCAGTGCTCAATCGCATGAACTTGGTACTGTCATGCCCATTTTGCAGATGAGAACGTGTGTAACATTTAAAAAACAGTGTTAAACATCAGTGGAAGTATTCACAACTCTTAGAATTTATGCTTTTAGCTACTAAACATGTAGCCCAGCTTCTGAGACATCAATGATGCTAACAGTCATAATAGGAGTTTGTGAAGAATCTGTGTTCACCTGTGTGTGCAAAAATAAAAAAAAAAGGTGAGTGTCCTTCACTGTTAAAACCTACATATACATTTCTCCATTTATTCCTCAGAATAATCCTATGAGGTTCCCAGAGGTGACTTCTTCCCTCTGTGTCAGTGACCAGTTCCTGAAATCATGTGTCTGTCTAGAAAACCTGGAGGGCCTGCTTCCTTTTGTTCTAAATAAGAAAAATTGCAATGCATTACATTTCGAGACCCTAGTTTCCTCCAAAGAACTACAGCTCAAAAAAATCCTTTGCTAACAAACCATTATATTGGGGTACAGATTCTTAAAGTATGATTTCCAGGTCATGGTTGTTTTGGAAGAGTTGTTTTGTGGGTGGTCCCATTGACCTGTTAGAGTCCACAGTATCCCCGGGGGACAGTTTACCATGCTTCTGCCATCTAACAAGAAACATATAATTTGATAGAGTATATTTCACCAATCACTGCATTGAAACGTATTGGAATTGAATATATATTCTTTTTCTTTTTCTTCTTTGTGTACACCAGTTAGAGACTTTATAAAGAATTTGGGTATTAGAATCTACAAGCTCTTTATTAGGAAAATATGCTAGAGTAGACATCATGTGAAGCACCCCCACCCCACTGGTATCCCGATCTTACAGATGAGAATACTGAGGATTAGCTAAAAGCAGAAGAGCAGGTCTTTGTTCTCCCAACTTCTCTTCTATGAATCCCCTCACCCTTATCAAGTGTGCTGTAATAACTGTCACTCATTTTAATGTCCCAGAGCCTTATTAAAATGCTTGTGCTTTTTGTTGTCATTGCTGTTACCGTTACCTGACATTTCCTTAGCACTCTCCATGTCCCAAGTGTGTACAAAGCACTCAGCAAGTAATGTTTAATTTCCTTCTCACATTCACCTCTGAGAGAACTTTATTATCTCCAGTTTAGAAAAATGAAAACTAAGACATGGGTTTGGGATCTTGTCCACTGGATGTGACTCATCTAAATAATGCAATCAACCGCTAAATCATTACCCAGCGCCTACTGTGTGTTCATCCACATTCCAGGGTTATTTAGTGCTTTAAAACCAACACAGCATATTATTGGACAAGGAACTTTATAATAGTAGGATTTGGTTCATGGCTGTACTTCAAAGACATTACGTATTTTACTATTTCATATTTCAGTTCGCTTTCTATAATAAAACCATGCAATTTCATCATGACCTTTGTCTCACCCTAAATAATATGGTATTGGTATGACTTATATTTTATACATTTATTCAGATCTACATATGTGTTGTTGCTAAGTTCAAGTGAGCCTGAGGTTAGAAACTGATGCTGTCCCAGAAAGAATTCTTGTGATACATAAATGATAGCTGATCAAGCCAACACAACTACTTGAGGAATTATAGCTTACAGAGTTGCTTGGCAGATGAAATCATTGGACTAATTAGAAAATAATGCATTATGCTGTGCCTAGAAAAATCACAGAGCAGCAGAAGCCTGGCTGCTTGAGCTCTGGGTTGCTGAGGGCCGCCATTCACAGCATTGAGCCTGTGCACTATATCCTTAAACTTTTCTTGTCCTTCCCTCCCCCTGTCCCTGCAGCCCAGAAACTGAAACAGACCCTGGAGCCTTGTGATACTGAATATCCAGCATTTGTGTCTGAGCGCACCATCAAGGAGACCACAGGGAATATTGCTTGCGAAGACTGCTCCAAGTAAGCTATACTCAGTTTTGCTTCCTCTTCCCTGCTGTACACACGTGCACTCCCAGGCACACAGGCACTCACACAGGCACGTTTTGCTAGACGCAGGACTTTCTCAGATGGGCCAGTGGGCAGTGAATCCAGCAACATGTGTCTTGTTACATTGAAAAACATAAGACATGGCTGCCCTCTTGTGTAAAGATCTGCCACGAAGGAGTATCACATGACTGTGGTGATTATTATGTTTTCCTTATTTATGCATTTGGTACAGGGTCTCACTATGCAGCTCAAGCTCGTAGTGATCTTTCTGTTTTCAGCCTCCCTAGTGCTGAGGTTACAGGTGTGCGCCACCATGCCTGGTCTCGGTGGCCAGCTCAGCATTCCCAGGTGCAGGACCAGTGCAGCATGCAGTACCAGAGATCGAACCATGGTCCTTGTGCTTGCCTAAACAGGTCTACTGAGCTATCTCGCCTGCTCTTGATAATTATTTTGAGGTTGGTGAGCATTCAAAATGTGTGACAAAGCATCCTGAATGATAGGTATTTAGTTCAGTCTGTTGCGATGTTAGCAGAAAATGCCAGTTGGTGTCTCACCAGTTGACGGCTGGCAATTTCAGCTGTCTGAGCAATGTTCTTAAGTATGTCTATCGAGGATGCCATGCTGTCTTATGAACTATTTAGTGAAAATGATTTCTTAGCAGTTTAGTGAGCATTTTCCCTAGTTACTACTGAAATTGAGTATCTTTTAACGATTTTATTGGTTATTTGGTCTCTATGTTCCTAGTGGGCAGTTTCCTATTAGGTAGTTGGGTTCATTCTTATTGATTTGGGTGGTCTTTGTATGTCAGATATAATTTCTTTATAATTGTATACATTGTAAAGGTGTGTTCCTGTTCCTTTCGTATATTTTCTCTGCTTAATGGGTATTTTTTGAGGCAGAAGTTTACTTTTGCTTTTATTTTAATACAGCATAACTTGTTCTTTTCTTTTTGTACCTTGTGCGCTTTGTGCCTTAAATTCTTTTGCATCCTATTTAATATTGTTATCTTATATTTTTCATCTGAACACTTTAATATATTGCCTTTTACACTTAGAACTTTAATCCTTTTGGAATTTACGTGTGTGTGTGTGTATGTGTGTGTATGTGTGTGTGTGTGTGTGTGTGTGTGTGTGTATGTGTTATCAAGCAGGGTTCTGATTTAGTAGTTTTTCATATAATTGGTATAAAGTTAACTTTCACTTCTTTTTCTGTGTGACAGTGGAGGTCAGACCCAGGGCCAAGTACATGCTAGAGTTCTATCAACCTGCAGTTTTTATTGGGTAGTCTCCACTTTCCCACCAGTGTCTGACACTTGTGTCCCATCTCTATACAGATCTGTTTCCAAATGCTGTGCTTTGTGAATGCCTGTGTGAATATCATCTCTCTTTAATTACAGCTGTATAATATGACCAGATGTTGAGAATAACACATATCCTTTCCTTATCTTCTCCTAAGTTGTCTTGCCTTTTTTTTTCCCAGAACTGGGGATTGAACTTGGGCCCTTGCACTTGCCAAGCAAGTGCTTATTCTACTGAGCTATCTCCCCGGCCCTGTCTTGGATATGCTTTTTTTAAAATTTATTTTATTTTATTTATTTATTTATTTATTGGATATTCTTGACTCTAGATATCATATTAATTTTGGTGTTAGCTTGTTAATGTCCATCAATTCTGCTAAGGCTTTCTTTAAATTTCATTCAAATTTTGTTCAGTTAAACAGATTTGAAGATGTTTGCCATATTTTGATATTGAATCTTCCCATTCCCAAGCTAAGTATATTTCTTCATTTATGTCTTTTTAATTTTTAGTGTAACTTCATAATTTTATTTGTCAGATTTATACCTAGACAGCTGATGATTTTTCTTGTTTTTTGAAATGAGATACATTTAAAAACACTTTACTATTATATGAGGACATCATTGATTTCTGTGTTTGAATATCATTTAGCCAACAAATTTAGAGTGAACAGTGAATGTATGGAATCTCTTGGACTTTTTACATAGATGGTAAAATCATTGGTAAAAATTTTCCTTTGTTATCCCAATATTTAATTTATTATTTGTGTTTTATTTTACTAAGCCCATGATGTATTGTTGAATAGAATTAATGAGACTAAGCAATCATGATTCACTCCTTATTTAAAAGAATTATTTCTAATAATTCCATGTAAGGCATAATGTTTGATAAAGTCCTTATTGTTATAAATATAAATGACATAAACTTGGACAATTTTAATTATTTTTAATTGTGTAATTCAGGAGTATCTGTGCAAATGGTTATTGTTTATTTTCATATTGCTGTGAGTTTTGGTAGTTAACCATGTTAACCATTTGTTAAGTTAACATATCTTCTATGAAAGATTTTGTTGCTATGTTCAACATCTACTACCAGGATAGATGTTGAATTTTACCAAAAAATATATCCATTATTAAAAAATGCTTATTTGTTGAGTTATAACTTTAAAAGTTTATAAAATGTATATTTCATCAGGTGGTACATACATGAGATATGATAAAAATTGTAATGAATATTTTTAAAATCTTCCAGTAAAAGACTCACTGTGATTAAACCTTCTCAAAATATTTCCCTCACTTCAAACATTTATCCCATCGTTCATGCTACTTTTTGAAGTAGTTCTATGACTCTTCTTTTGTGAGTGTCTTTAGTTGCATTGTTCTGGTTTCCCTGATATCATGAGCCAATTGAAAACATTCCGCTTTCATTGTCATTTGACATTGGGGATGACAAGTCACAGGATTCACCATCAATATGGGAACTATAGTTAAAGATTATACTTCTTAGAACGTTCACTATTTCATCTCACTTTTCAAGTTTATAGCTAAGATTCATAGTGTGAGGTTTTAATCAAAAATGGTAAAATATATATTTGGTTTTTTATGTTTTGTAAAACCTTTAGGTGATACATAAAAATTGTACATATTTATGGGATAGCATGAAGTTTTGAAACTTGTATACATTATGGAATATTCAAATTATAATCAACTTATCTCTTCAAATATTTATCATATATTGATGGTGGGAATATTCTAAATCCTTTAAGTTTTCTAAAAAAATATGATTTACTGCATCTTTTTTTTTTGAAGTTGTGAGTTTTTAATTTTCATTTTTTTTGTTTTACTTCCTCCTTCCCTTGCACTGTACCTCTCCAAACTGACAGAAATATCATTTCCATGTTTTGTTTTACTTTAGGTTTTTTTTTTTTAACATTTTGTTGTTGATGTTTAGCTTTTCAGTATATGTGTGTTTTTCTCTGCACAGTGGTGCCTCTCTGGAACTGAACACACAGGATTTTCTTACTTGTCAGTTTTAACAATTTTTTTTTTTACCATGTTTAAATTGGTAAATGCCTAAATGGTGTTCCAGATTTTATAATGTATGAGCTTTAAACTATATTCGTTATTATTACTATTTAATGCAATGGCTCTGTGTTTGGGCTGACGTTGTTTAGCGTGTGTGGGAGCTTGCTATGGATTGTAATACCTGTCCGCGGGTCTCTGGAAGCACAGTGCTTTCTCTCCTGGCTTTCTGTAGAGATCAAACTTCATCTGGTGGACCAAGTATGCTAATTGTGTTTCCGACTTCTAATTTTTAGCCAGGTATGTGGATTTTTCAACTTCTTGTCCTTCAACTCATTTTGCTTTCTGTATCTTCCGGTTATCATTGTCGTCCCTGCTAAGACCATTAAGCCTTCCCAAGAAGTCTTTCTTCTATCACTACATAAAAGCCCTCTGCGTACATGAAAATGTTTCATCCTGAGCATCTGCCTTGTCTACTAGTAGCACAAGTAGAAAGGCTCATCTTTTGGTAATATTTCCTAGACATATTTTCCCCTTCCTTCTTTTTTCAACCCTCCTCTTTTTTTAAAAATCATTTTTGTCATGTTTTGCTTCAAGAAGATGATATTGCTGATTTGCAAGGTTTATTCTTTCTATTATCTTCTGTACTTAATCTTTCACAATTGTGGTGCTTACTGATAAATTTGGATTTATTCTGACTACAATTTGATATGCTTTTTTTTTCATTTCCTTTTTTTTTTTTTTTTTGCCTTTTATGTATGCATGTTCTCCTTTTCCTCCTCCTAGTATGAAAAACGTTCATTCTATCCTTTCTCTCTTTCTGTCTCTCTTTTTTTTTTTTTTGCAGAACCGGGGACATTCTATTTTTTCATTAGTGATCTTAAGCCCCTTTTCACATGTTTCTGTGGTCCTCCCCCAGAACAAACAAAAATCTAATCTCTTCTAACAAGGATTGATCCCTATCTCTTCCATGTAATACTTCTCAACATTTCAGTTCTATTATGTTTATAATTCACTAAATAATGTATTTTTCCTCTTGCTAACTATAATACATTCATGTTTACCTCCATTTTGTTTTGTTTTGCGGTACTGGGGATTGAACTCAGGACCCTGCGCTTGCCAGGCAAGCACTTATTCTACTGAACTATCTCCCCGACACTACCTCCATTGTTGCCAATCTGTGCAGTCACCACTGATTTAAAAACAAACAAACAAAAACATTAGTTTTTGGTTTATAGCACTGTAGACATTTATTCAAGAATGATTGAGGAGTTGTAAATTCTCTTATTCTTTATCCAAAATGCCTAAAATGCCTTCTTTAGTTTAGTATGACAGTAATAACTTAACATAGCATTCTCTAAATTGTTATATTTTGAAAATAATATTCTCTTGTGTTCTGGTTTTTAACTTTGTACCTTTGTAAAAACCCTGGCTCTTCTTTCTTCTCTGATGACTTTTGACATATTTACTCTCTCTGTAATGTTCCGAAGTTCCACTAAAGTGATTAGATAAAAATGTATTTTCATTTTTTTGGGTGCCTTATTCCATATATGTAATATTTCAGTTCACTAATTTTGTTTTTAGTTTTTAGAGTCTGCTACTGTAAAAATCAAAATATGGATGACTTTCTAGAAGTTTTATTTGCTTCTGTTAAAAA